TGGTGCTGAAAAATTGGAAAAAATTATGGCTGAAAACTATCCAAGTTGGTGAAACACATAAACCTATAACACATAAATTTATTTATTCAAGAAGCTCAGTGGACTTCAAATAGAATAAACTCACATACACACTTAGTCATGTTATAATCAAACTGCTGAAAACTTAAGATAAAAAAAATTTTCGAAAGCAACCATAATAGACATTGCCTATAGATGAACAATGACTCAAATGACTGCAGATTTTTGGTCAGATACCATGTAGGCCTAAAGGAAGTGACAGAACATTTTCAAATGCTAAAAAAAAGAAAAAGAAAATCACACACGCACATCACACATACAATTTATTTATATCCAGCAAAAACATCCTTCAGGAATGAAGGCGGGACAGAGAAATCCTGTTGGATTTAGAGAAAAGCTGATTTAAAAAAAAATTAAACAAAACAAAAAAACTAATAACCTCTTGTTAACAGACAGCTCTAAAATAATTACTAAAGGGGGCCAGCAGATGGCATAGTGGTTATGTCTCTGGACTCCCACATGGCCAACTGTGGTTCAAGTTCCAGACCTGGTGGCTTGAAAATCATGCTGGGGGAAAAAAAAATCACGCTGGGCACACATGTGTACATATACATCCAAGATCTCGGGAGAAGGATGGAGAAGGAATTGTGGTACAGCCAAAGAAAGTATGTGCCCTAAGGCAAAAACTCTTAAAAAAAAAAAAAGAATTACTACTAAAGGAAATCCTTCAGGCAAAGGAAAAACAAACCAGAAGGAAACTTAGGACATCAGAATCAAAGAACAAGAGAAACTAAATAATTGAGCAAATACAATAAATTATTCTATTGAGTTTTTTTAAAAAATTCACTTTTCAGAGACCAACAGTTAGCATAATGGCTATGTTGATGGACTCCTATGTAGTCGATCACAGTTCAAGTCCCAGACCCGGGGGCTTAAACTCACGCTGGGTGCGTGTGTGTGTGTGTGTGTGTGTGTGTGCCCAATATCCCGAGAGGAGAATGAAGGAGAGAGGCGTGGCCATCCCCCCTGGGGCGTGATTTCTCGCTTCCTGTCTCTCTCTTTCTGGCAAGTGCGCGCGCCCTATAGCAAAAGCCTCTCCCCCCTCCAAAAAAATTCACTTTTCAGTTCAAAGCAAAACTTATAGCACTGTTCGATGGGCTTTTTGATGTGTGCACATGTAACATAAGACAACTAGGATGTAAAGGAAGGACAGTAAAATGACCTACATGGTAGTAACATTCCAGTTAAGGTGTTAAAATATTGATTCTAAGTACACTGTTAAAAGTTAAGAGTGTACCTTGTAATCAATCCCTAAGGCAATCAAACTTTGCAAAAGTAAATAGTATCACAATAGTTTAAATGGAAGAATAAAAAATGATACAAATATTGACATCTGACAAAAACCTTAAAGCAGATGACAAAGATGCTTTAAGGCAGGAAAAAAGGTTTCTGTGAAAACCACAGACTACCAAAACTCACCCGAGATGAAAAAGATAACCTGAGTAGTCCTTTTTTGTTTATAATGGTATTTTTATATTTTAGTTTTAATATAATTTTTAAAATTTGTCATAGGGTGTATGTGCTCACCAGAGAGAGACAGAGAGAGAAGGAACGTGAAAACTCATCCCCCCAGGGGATAGCCACCCAGCAATTCCTTCTCCTCCATTCTCCTCTTGAGATTTTGGGCATGCACGCAAATGTGCCTGGTATGTTCCTCAAGCTGCCAGGTCAAGGACTTGAACCATTCAGTCAGCCATGCAGGATCCAACCAGCTTCCCTAAGTAGTCCTTGAATTATGAAAAAAATTGAATTCATACTTAAAATATTTTCAAAACATTGGGTCAGTTCTGTGGGGTAATAGTAATGAGCAGCAGCTCAAGAGAAGCCAGATCTTACATGGTGACTATGGTTTGAATTTCTAACCAGGTCAGCCCAAAACATGCCAGGCACATGCATGAGGGTCCATGATCACATGGGCAAGAGGATGGAGGAAGAGATCACAGAGTGAGCAGACACTATGGAGGGTGCTCATCTCTCTCTCATTCTCATGTGTGCACATGTGCTCATAGTAAATAAAGAAAATATATTAATTAAAAAATCAGACCAGGTCTGCAGACTAGTGGTTAAGGAAAGCCTGATCCCAGAGCTGACCTCGGTTCAAATCCTGGCCCCAGTGGATTGAAAATGTGCTAGGCACGTGTGTGGCATGCCCAAAATCCTGACAGGATGGAGAAGAAGGGATTGTGGTGTGACTGCACCCTGTTATGGAGTGCTTTCTCCCTCTCCCTCCCTCCCTCTCTGTCCCTCTCTGACAAGTGTTTGTACCTTCTACCAATTAAAAAACAACAAAAAGCGGTTCAAATCCTGGCCCCAGTGGATTGAAAATGTGCTAGGCACGTGTGTGGCATGCCCAAAATCCTGACAGGATGGAGAAGAAGGGATTGTGGTGTGACTGCACCCTGTTATGGAGTGCTTTCTCCCTCTCCCTCCCTCCCTCTCTGTCCCTCTCTGACAAGTGTTTGTACCTTCTACCAATTAAAAAACAACAAAAAGCAAAAAACAGGGACTAGCAGTTAGCGTAATGGCTATGTCGATGGACTCCCACGTAGTCAACCGCGGTTCAAGTCCCGGACCCGGTGGCTTAAACTCACGCCGGGCGCATGTGCGTGCGTGCCCAAGATCCCAAGAAGAGAATGGAGGAGAATGGATAGCGGCATGGCCATCCCCCTGGGGGGGGGGCGATTTCTCGCTTTCTATCTCTCTATCTGTCTCTGTCTGTCTGGCGAGCGCACGCGCCCTATCTAATTATATTTATGATGATGATGATGATTTTAAATTTGATCACAGGGCATGTGCAAGAGAGCGAGAGAGAGAGAGAGAGAGAGAGAGTAAGAAAGCAAGTTGCCAGGTTTGGGACTCACTGTGATTGGCTATGTGGGAGGGAGTCCAGCACTCTTAACCACCACACCACCTGCCAGTCCCAGGTTTATAAGATTTCACCAGTAAATTCGACTGAACACTTAAAGAAATAACACAATTTCAGACAGTGTTTTCAGTGTCTTCCAGAAAATGAAAGACAAAGGAATGCTTCCTATGCATGAAACCAGCATCACTTTGGTACAAAACAAACTAACAAAAACCTGAACCAAAATAGTACATGTTTTTCTTTTTTATTTATTTTTTTTGGAGGAGTTTTTGCTATAGGGCGTGTGCGCTTGCCAGACAGACAGAGAGAGACAGAGAGACAGAAAGGGAGAAAGCAGCCCCCATGGGGGATGGTCACGCTGCAATCCCTTCTCCTCCATTCTGCTCTCAGGATCTTGGGCACACACGCACACACGCTTGGCGTGAGTTTAAGCCATCAGGTCCAGGACTCGAACCACGGTCGACTACATGGGAGTCCAGCGACATAGCCATTATGCCATCTGCTGGTCCCAGTACATGTTTTTCATGAACATATATCCAAAAACCTTTGATAAAAAAGCAAATCAGGGGCCAGATGGTGGTGCAGTAGTAAAATGCCTTCTATGAGGCAGACCTACTTGGGAAAGTTGCCAGTTCTATAACTGGCCAGAGACTACTACTACGATTACACCAGAGCTGGTGTAATCTATGGCCCAAGGCGGATGAGGCTACAGGGTGGGTCACAGTGGCAAGACTCTGTTGGGGTGCCGTATCTCAGTCTCTGTCTCTCTCACTCATGAAAAAAAAAACACTTTAACAATGAGCAATCAATTCTAACACTATATCAAAAGGAATGATATACTAGGACTAAGTGGGGTTTATACTGTGGGTACGTAAGGCTTGTTCAGTATTCAAAAATCAATTAAGTGACCCTCCATAATAATGCTCTACAGAAAAAAATATCACGTAATGAGATCAACAGATGTGAAAAAAGACTGGCAAAATTCAATGCTGAGTCATGATAAAAATCTCTCAACAAACTAAGAGCTTCCTTAACATGATAAAGCATACCTTGAAAAAACCTAAGGCAGACCAGCCCATAGTCTGGTGGTTAAGGCGCTGGATCTCACACGGCTAACCACATAGGTTGAGTCCTAGATCAGGCAGTTTGAAAATATACCAGGTGTCTATGCATGTGTGCCCAAAATCCTAAAAGGGGGGAGAAATGAAGAGATTGCTGCATGACTGTGCCCCATGAAGGGGAGGGGTAGTGCTTTCTTGCTTTCCTTTGGCAAATTAAAAACCAAAACCAAACAAACACCTAAGCCTAATGTATTTAAAACTGAATGCTTGGCCCTTAAGATCAGTAATGAAGCAAATATATCTGATTTCACCACAACTATCCAGCACGATACTGAAAGGCCTAGCCAATACAATAAGGCAAGAATAAAAAATAAAAGACATGTAGACCAGAAAAGAATAAATAAAATTGTTTCTATTCTCAGATGATATGATTGTCTATGTATAAAATCCTAGGGAATTTACAAGAAAATTTATTGAATAAGCAAATTTTATAAGGTAACAGGATATAAAATTAACAAAAATCAATCACATACCTTGAATGTAAAATCGTTAACATGATTATTTGTGTAGAATGTATTTCACTGAATTAGGTAAAAATCAGGATTCCCTCTAACTTTGACACATAGCTAGTTAAAAGACATAGGTGTTGGGCCAGCAGGTAGCATAGTGGTTAAGGTGTTGGACTCCCTCACGGCTGACTGCCTTTCAAGTCCCAGACCTGGCAGCCTGAAAATCATGCCAGGTATGTGCGCCCATGTGCCCAAAATCCTGAGAGGAGAATGAACAAGAAGAGATTGTGGTGTGGCTATTCTCCCTGAGAAGTGATTTCTCACTTTCCCTCCTACTGACTCTCCCTGGCAGGCATACATGCCCTATGACAAAAACCTTAAAAAAAAGACATAGGCAGTTCTACTTCATTGACTAGTTAATTACCTAGTTTACAGATTCCCTGGGTAAAGGTCACTGTGTCCTGAACTTAGTGCAGTCATTATGCCAAGATGACCCTTCTTTCTTGGATAATGCCAAAGGGCTAGTCAGGACTTAGGCAAGTTGATCTCTGTCACTTACTGCTTTGGACTTTCCTCAGAGGCTTGTCAGGCTCTTCTTCCTCAAGCAGCTGAGCATTCTGTAGGAGAGCACAGATCTCTGGATGCAGGTCATCCATGCCGGCCTCCCCAGAGGCCAGGGCTCTGCAGTGCAACACCAAGGCAACATCTTGGTTATAGAAATGAAAATACCGGCAGACTCTACTTGCTTCATGCACACAGCCATCATCCAACAGGCGCCCGATCAAAAAGCAGAGTGACTCCCGCTCCTTCCAATCCAGTCTACTATCCTCACATGTCTCTTTTGATGGAAGGTCGTTCAGTCCTAAATATTTTGATGTGTTCAGAGCCGCCAATTTGGAGAAGGAAAACTCCCTGGCTAAGCTATCAAAGGAAAGTTCACCACTAGTTGAGATCTGTCGAAAACACCTGGGCTCTACTTCCTCCTGGTTTCCTCCGAGGGTGTGCTGAGTGATGTGGCAGAGCCAGATCTGCTTTTCAAGCTCTTCCAGCTCGTCCAAGGGTACTGGGTCCTCCTGGGCTAGCCAGTGCCCCGCCAGGGTGAGCAGCAGATGGCGCTCCTCAGTGTCGCTCCGTGTGGTTGGGTGCTCACAGGCCATATGGGCCTGGCCTGAGAAAAAGGCAGAAGCTGCTTTGCTTGATACGGAATTTTTCTTAAAATTCTCATGGCATTTTTTCCAAAAGTCAATTCTTGTTTGTTTCAGGGACCACTGTTCAATGTGTTTTAGGGCCTGCATTTCCTGTGTTACCTGTGAAAATTAACGAAGAAAATTTTAGCCTTTCCTGGAAAAAGAAGTATCAAAAGTGCTAACTGCCTCCCTAAGCATGCCATACTTGTTAAAACCAAATCCAATCAGAGAACACAGGACTTTGCTACACATAACCCTGGATATTTTATTTGGAAAGTTAAGGTATAAAAAGAAATTCTCAATTTACCTAAATAGATGAAGCCCACTTTATATTATTATTCAAAGGAAAGTACTTGTTGCATGTCCTTCAAGGTAACCTTACAATTAAAGCATATTGGGACCCAGCAGTTAGCATAATGGCTATGTCGCTGAATTCCCATGTAGTCGACTGCAGTTTGAGTCCAGGACCCGGTGCCTTAAACTTACACTGGGCGCGTGTGCATGCATGCGCAAGATCTCGAGAGGAGAATGGAGAAGGGATTGTGGCGTGGCCATTCCCCCGGAGGGTGATTTCTTGCTTTCTATCTCTCTGTCTTTCTGGCGAGCGCACACGCCCTATAGCAAAAACCTCTCCAAAAAAAAGAAAAGAAAAAACAGTTAAAGCATATATTCTTCGATAATGTGGATCTTAGGCTCATCAATATCTGGAAGTAATGTGTGTGTCAAAGTAAAAAAAAAAGCTTACTCTCCTATAAATTATGCATCACTTGATCCTCTGTTTTTGTTTGTTTGTTTTTAAGAGAATTTTTTTTTCTATAGGGTGCAGGCACTTGCCAGAGAGTCAGAGAAACAGAAAGTGAGAAATCAGGCCCCAGGTGGATGGCTCCGCCACAGTCCCTTTTCTTCCATTTTCCTCTAGGGACTTTGGGCATGCACACACACGTGCTCGGAATGAGTTTTAAAGCACCGGGTCCAGGACTCAAACAGCTGTCGACTATGTGGGAGTTCAGCGAAGTAACCATTACGCCATCTGCTGGTCCCTTGATTCTCTGTTTAATTTAAAAAGCTAAGATTTTAAGTAACATAAAAGACTGATGATACCTCTTCGATAACCAAGCTGTCCACAGGCAACTCAGCTAATTCTGCTACCCTCCTGGCCAAAGCAAACTGTCCATCTGTCTGCAGTCTTTCTAAAATATATTTGCATTCATGCTGAAAATTCTCAATGCTATAGCTGGTAATAATTATATGATTAATGGCTATGGAATTATCCTTCAAAATCTGGCTGAGGATGCACAGCTTCTTCACGTCTGGACCTATGGCAGAGAGAAGATATAAACATTTGATCAATAAAATACCACTGTGACTTCAAGAGTAACCACATATCAGAGAGAAAAGGTATACGTTTAACACAGTAATGTGGTTAAAGGGGAAATATAAACCTTTCTTTCACTCTGGCAGATTAGTACAGGAGCCATAAAGTAACTCCTGTCTATACAACTACGTTGCCAAAAACTGCTCCTGCAGAATCCTTTGTAGTAAAGTCTAGCTGAACTTGCATGCCCTAGAGCAGTAGTCCCCAACCTTTTCGGTATCAGAGACAGATTTTGTGTATGACAGTTTTTCCATGGACCAGTGTAGGGGATGGGTTCAGGATGACTCGAGTACATTTACTGTGCACTTTATTATTTTTTATGATTATTATTAATTTTTAAGAGAGTTTTTTTGCTATAGGGCACGTGCTCACCAGAGAGACAGAAAGACAGAAAGTGAGACATCAACCCTCAGATGGGGATGACCACGCCGCAATCCCTTCTCCTCCATTCTCCTCTTGGGATCTGGGCATGCATGCACACTCAGCTGGTATGAGTTTTAAGCTGCCGGGTTTGGGACTCGTACCGTAGTCGACCACATGGGAGTCCAGCAACATTAACCATTACACCATCTGCTGGTCCTATCTACTTTTACATTGTAATATATAATGAAATTATATATTATAAATTATACAGCTCACTATAATACAGTACCGGCAGCCAGTCCCCTGTACTAGCCTCACTGCCTCAACTCCACCTGAGATCAGGTGTTTGATTCTTGTAAGGAGTCGCAACTTCAATCCCTCTCATGTGCAGTTCACAATAGGACTCACACTCCTATGAGCATCTAACACCGCTGCTGATCTCACAGGAGGTAAAGGTCAGGGCTGTAAAAACAAAGGAAGCTTCTTGCCTCCTGCTGTGTGGCCTGGTCCCTGGGGATTGGCGACCACTGCCCAACAGGAACTTTTAGAAATCAGCACAAGGGGACCAGCAGTTAGCATAATGACTATGTCACTGGACTCCCATGTAGTTGATCACGGTTCGTGTCCTGGACCTGGTGACTTAAAACTCACGCCGGGCGCGTGTGCATGCATGCCCAAGATCCTGAGAGGAGAACGGAGGAGAAGGGATTGCAGTGTGGCCATCTCTCCTGGGGGATGATTTCTCGCTTTCTGTCTCTGTCTGTCTCTGTCTGTCTGGCAAGCGCACGCGCCCTATAGCAAAAACCTCTCCCCACCCCCACCCCCAAAAAAAGAAAGAAATCAGCACATGCAACTCACTCTACACATCTGGCTTTATATACAGGGAAGAGGCTGGTGGCCTTCTATGCAGTGGTAATGCAGTAATCTTGGGGAGATTTTTAGCCCTTCACTCAGGCTAATCCCATCTTTTTCTGGACTTTTTTCCTGTCTTGATCAAATTTGTTTGATTGAGTGAACATTTTTCATTTAATGCAGGCCTCATGTGAATCAAGACACAGAACTGGCAGGACAATGGGAACTGTAGCTGGCCAACAGGCAGGTGCCAACGTGGCATGTGGTGCTCAGAATGAAGCAGCACTTACTCCTCCTGACATCTATCTACTTGACCCAGGGGAACCCACCTGAGCTCTTTCTCACATCCTTGGGAAATTATTATCCTTAGTCACATGAAGAATTCTTTTTCTTTCTCTTTTTTTTTTAAGAATTAGTTTTTAAAAATATAACTTTATTTTATTCATTCATTTTAACTTGACATGAGAGGGACAGAGTGGCGGGGCTAGTAGGCAGGCAGTGAGAAAGCAAGCCACCAGGTCTGGGACTCAAGCTGAGGTCGGCCATGTGGGAGTCCAGTGCCCTTAACCACCACACCACCTGCTGGCCCACACATGGAGAATTCTTTGCCAACAATTTCTCTGACTGGATTTGCTGTCACTCCCTATAGTCTGCAGGGATAGCACGAAAACATCTCACAGAACGCTCTTTCCAACAGTTTCCTGGGCAGTGGCCTGATCTAGGAGTTCCGGGAACAGCAAGACACCCTGACAACCACCGGTAGGGCATGCTGGATTTCTTTGCTAGGATCATATACAACACATGTTTTTAAAGGACATATTTCTGTTCTCTAAGTGCATACATGTGAAACACAAAACGCAAATATTCTATGAGAGTAGAAATAATTTTATTATATAAATAAAAATAGTAGTGGATAAAAATGTATTTATTCAAAGATAGATGGACTATGGCAACCCACAGAAAATTCATTTGTGAAAAATACTTAAATTACTACACATCAATGAGAACACCTATATGTATATATATATATTTTTTTTTTGAGAGTTTTTTGCTATAGGGTGTGTGCACTTGCCAGAAAGCCAGAGAGAGACAGACAGATAGCGAGAAATAACCCCCCAAGGGGGGATGCCACACCATAATCCCTTCTCCTCCTTATCCTCTCAGGATCTTGGGCATGAACGCACATGAACATGGCCTGAGTTTTAAGCCATTGGATCCAGAACTCGAATCGCAGTGAATACATGGGAGTCCAGTGACATAACCATTATGTCATCTGTTGGTCCCTAGTTTTTCAGGTTTTTTTTTTTTTTTTAAGGTTTTTGCTATAGGATGAGTGTGCTCACCAGAGAGAGAGAGAAAGAGAGACAGAAAGCAAGAAATCACCCCTGTAGGGGAGATGGCCATGCCGCAATCCCTTCTCCTCCATTCTCCTCTCGGGATCTTGGGCACGCACATACATGTGCTCAGTGTGAGTTTAAGCCACCGGGTCCAGGACTCAAACCACGGTCAATTACATGGGAGTCCAGTGACATAGCCATTACGCCAACTGCTGGTCCCCAAGTTTTCAGTTTTAATGAACATAGGTTTCAATTTAAATAGACACACGGGTTAGTCACTGCCTCACTGGACGGCACATCTATAGAGGGTGATGCAGAGATGAGTATTTGAATATTTCTTCTCTCTCTCTCTCTCTGTCCCTCTCTGTTCAAATTAGAATATATAAATAAATAAATAATAAAATTGAATACAAAAATTATTTAAAAAAAAACTAGTATAAAGGAAAAATATTCCACAAAAATGTGAAATAATAAAATAAGTAGAAAAGAGCTCTTACTATGTATATGCAAATATAATACAATATTGCTTTGATTCCATCAGTGACAAGCTTAGAGACCAAAAGAAACCTGAAAAAAATAAGCAGTTTGTCTCTGAAACTTTCAAAATGAAATGAACTTTCCTGAAACAGAATTTGTGGCCTGAGTAATTACGGCATGCTATGGTTACTTGCCAGAAAGAATAACAGTGACAGTGTAATGCCGAGGTAAGCCGGGGGAAAATGTGGCTACTTGACAACTGCTTAGAAAGAGAAGTTCCTGGGACCAACAGATGGCACAATGGTCATGTCGCTGGACTCCTATGTAGTTGACCACAGTTCAAGTCCCAGACCTGATGGCTTAAAACTCACGCCAGGGGGAACCAGCAATTGGTGTAATGGCTATGTCACTGAACTCCCATGTGGTTGACTGCGGTTCGAGTCCCGGACCTGGTGGCTTAAACTCACGCCAGGCATGCGCGTATGTGTGTGTATGGGTGTGTGCCCAAGATCCTACGAGGAGAATGGAGGAGAAAGGATTGCAGTGTGGCTGTCCCCCCCGGGGGGGGGGGTGATAGGATTGCAGTATGGCTGTCCCCCCTGGGTGGGGAGTTGATTTCTCACTTTCTGTCTCTGTCGAGTGCACGCACCCTATAGCAAAAACCTCTCCAAAAAAACCCTCACACCAGGCATGTGTGTGTGCATGCCCAAAATCCTAAGAGGAGAATAAAGAAGAGATTGTGTGTGAGCATCTCCCCTGGAGGTGGGGTGATTTTTCACTTTCTGTCTGTCTCTCTGGTGAGTGCACATACCATACAGCAAAAATCTGTCTTAAAAAAAAAAAGAAAAGAAAAGAAAATTTCAGTTGTATTATTTATGTGACATGCAGTTGTACAGGTTGTGTATCCCTTATGTGAAAAGGCTTGGGACCACAAATCTCTCAGATTTTAGATTTTGTAATATTTGCATATACGTAGTGAGAGGTTATGGGAATGGCCCCAAGTCTAAACATGAAATTCATGTATGCTTCATATACACCTTATGAACATGATCCAAAGATAACTTTATGCATTTTTTAAAAAGAACTATTCATTAAATTTTATTCATTATCTTTTAATTTGCTATAGGGTATGTGTCCCCACCAGAGAAAGAGAAGGAAAGTGAGAAAGCAAATCGCCAAGTCTAGGACTCGAACTGTGGTCAGCCATGTGGGAGTCCAGTGCCTCAACCACCATGCCACCCACTGGCCCCAATTTTACACATTTCTGAATTGCAGCGTTTTGACTATTACCCATCACATGGGGTCAGGTGTAGAATTTTCTACTTGTGGCATAATGTCAGTGCTCAAAAAGTTTCAGATTTTGAAGCATTTTGGATTTTCAGAATAGAGATGCTCAACCTGCACTGTTTTGAATGCTTTAACCACCTAAAGTTATCTGTAACCTCTCTGTACCCAGTTATGGACAATAAATATATTGTTATATATCATATGTATTTTAATTTCCTGACTGTCCTTCTAAAATATTTTCAAGATTAAGAAAATTAATTTCTTGGGGCCAGCAGGTGGCGTGATGGTTGAGGTGCTGAACTCTAGTTAACCGGTTTGAGTCCCGGACCCAGCAACTTGAAAATCACATCAGATGTGTGTGCACATGTGCCCTAAATCCTGAAAGGAGAATGGAGGAGAAGGGACTGTGGCATGGCCATCCCCCTGGGGAGTGGTTTCTCACTTTCTCTCTCTCCGTCTCTCTCTCTGTATCTCCAGTGAGTACATGTGCCTTATGGCAAAAATCTCTCTTCAAAAAGAATTATTTTCTTGGGGACCAGCAGTTAGCGTAATGGCTGTGTTGCTGGACTCCCACGTAGTTGACCACGGTTCGCGTCCC